ATTGAAGGTCACTGCCTTGTATGTTCTGATCGATCAGTGTTCAACGTGTATGAATGGTTGTTAAATGTTTTGATTATTATTCTTATATAATGGATTACAATCAATAGTAGCCATAACATTTTCAAAACTTAGAAATGTGCTGCAGATTTTTCCCCCGCACTTCCTCCTTAAACTGCCTTGAAGAGAATATAAGCAATCAACTCAACAAAATAAATGGTTTTAAGTTTTTCTATCGACTTTCCAGACATCAGTGCCTTGAGGCAACTTTTTAATGGTGTAGCTCATAAAGATTTAATTGGGAAAGAAATATTTATGGAGTGTCTATTGGCAGCAAGATTATAAAGGTGTAATGGGAGTTCAGAGTAAGTGTAAGATTTTGTCCTGAATTCCAGAGTGTCTGTTCTAATGTAGCATAAACAACAAAAAATATATTCTCACAGTTCTAAGGCTGAGAAGTCCAAGATCAAGATGCCAGCACACTAATGTTCTGGTGAGAGTCCTCTTCCTGGTTCATAGATGGTGCTTCTCTCTGTGCCCTCAGATGGTGAAAGGGCAAGAGATCCCCATGGGGTCTCAATTAAAAAAAAAAAACTAATCTCATTTAGGAAAGCTCCACCCTCACGACCTAATCACCTCCCAAAGGCCCCATTTCCTAATACCATCACATTGGGCATTAGGATTTCAACTAATGATATGGGGAAGGGACACATTCAGACCATAGCAGTTGGTGACTTCAAAATTAACATAAGTATATTTCAGTTTTCTTATATATAAAATGGGACTAATAGTGGTGCATTTTGAAAAGGTTGTTTAAAGGATGAACTCTGGTAATTTATTTAAATTATTTACCATAGTGCTGGTATATTTAAGTGCTCAATAAATATTTATTGGGTTTTATTTTAAGTAGCGAAAAGATCCATGCTTTATTCAAAGTGGTGAGAGAATATTAGTCTTGCTTATTCAGAAAAGCTCTCTGAAAAGGTGATTATAAAGTTGTATATTGAGAGAAATTAAGGCTGGAAGATACTGCTTTTATTTATAATAAAGAGGAAAAAGAATTAATAAAGATACACAGATTAGAAGAGGTCACACATGTATGAGCATTTAGAGAAATTCTAAGTTAAAGGGATGTCATGTTGCAGAATAACACAGATAGCTGTAAGATACTTTAAATAAATATTCTCAAGGTTATATTGTAGGATAATTTTCCCATCATTGGGTGAAGAAATCTATATTGCAGTAAATAGGAAAGGACCATGCTTGTAGGTGGCTATATAGAGCAACACATTTATTTCAGATTTTCTGGAGATTTAAAAAGGATTTTCTGAAAATCTACTTTAAAAGACCTACTTACAGTTTGGCATATATGAATATGAACATAATTACAAATATAAGATATACTTTGGGTTTGTACAATTATTTCCAATTATTCTCGTCCAGTGAAGGGATTCAGCTCTGTTCTGACCATGGTTTTATCTGCTTGTGAGGAGTCTTTCTTGCATGAGCATGCCCTATGTGCTTGTCTACCTTATGCATGCTGGATAACTTACTTTGTATTTTAGGTAATCAGTAATTATTTTGGGCTCATAATGTTTCTCAAAATATTTTTAACTCGAATCTTTTGGAATTAATTTCTACAGGAGTTTGGCTTTCCAGCATTATACCCTACCACACGTGAACTCTGCCTTGGTGTTAACCTGAGGCATGGCTCAGGTCTTTCTGCTTGGTTATTTCCATTCTCTAGCTCGGCCCCCATTAGCAGTGTTTTTAATGGTAGCCTGCGGCAATGCAGGGAGATTTACCACACCTTTGTATTACACGGCAACTTCCTTGCTGCAGTCCGAGCTCCAAATCCTCTCCTGTTGTGCAGGCCCTGAAGTCTTCCCTCTAACTCCAAGAAGGTTTCCCCTGGGAGCTGTAGAAATGTGGTATGATTAATCTTACATAAAGTGATTTTGAGGAATTTTATTTTGATAGTTATTAAGTAAATATTATTCTTCATAAAATAATAAGATAGCCACAACATACGGTATATTTCTCCTTCCCTCCTGTCCTTTCTCCTTTTTACTCTAACTCTTGGGCTCCCTGTTCTCCTCCCCACCTTTACTTTCCCCTCCTTCTCCCTTCTCTCCTTTTTCTTGTTCTTATTCTCTAACTGTTTATCTTCTTGCTCTAATTCCATATTTTATTCTTATTCTTCTTTCCTCACCCTTTTTGTTCTTTCTTCTCTGTCTCTCTCTTGATTGAGAGAACATTTTCATTATTTTCAGGCACAGATTTAATAGACCCATAGTAATTTTCTTGATTGCAATCAATCTGTAGAGAAAATCAGTTAGAGGAGAGCTATTTTTAACAGAAATGCACTTGGTATGAATATGTTTAAGTTAGAAACATATAAGGTATACTTATGTGAATATTGGTAAGTCACTGGATACTATCATATATTGAATATACAAAGATAAAAAAAATCACAAATGAGGTGAAAAAGTTTTCTTGACCAAATGATGCTGACATAATTAATTACAGTTTAGAAAAAAAGATGAATGCTCATTTCATAAATATATATCTATATATTTAAAGGAAATTTTAAGATTAGCTATAACTTTTACAAACATAAGGAAATAAGAAGGCAGTGCTGGGAAATATTTATATTATATCAATGAAAAAGGGATTTCTAATTATAAAGTTGGTATAAGAATAAAAACTGTCCAAAATAAAAATATTCCACTCAAAGTTAAAAGAGGAGAAATACATTTAAAATTTGGGAATCTACAAGAAAAATAGTAAGCTAAAAATTTAAAAGTTGGAAAAGAAAATAAATAATTCTTAGAGGGTAAATCTTAGTCGTTACAAAAATACTTTGAATAATACTTCTAATGAAAGATATTGAAAATTCTCTAATTAGATCTTAAGAAGAATGCTTGCAACAGCAGCCTCATAGTCATCTTTATTCTCTGCTACTAAGAACAGGAAGAGATACAGTTGTTAAATTAATATTTTAAAATGCTCTTCTTTTTAGATCCTAGGAGATTGATCCAGCTTTCCTCCTCTTCCACATGTACTCTCCCTATATTTCTAGCCTGTTTTCTCCAGGCCCTCCAGGATATTTGACCTCCTTTGTCTTGGACATTTTGTCTTGACTTTTTTCTTTGTCCCTTTTACTGTTTTTATTTCTAGTTCAGTCCCTGACTGAGAAGGAGGCATCATGGTGTAGGGGATTAGGGCACAGACTCTGGAGTAAGCCTACCTGGTATCTCATAGTGGTATTTATTTGCTTTTCCCTAGTGACTAATGATGCTGAACATCTTCTTATGTCCTAATATTGCCCATTATAAATCTTTTTGGAGAGAGATCTATTCAAATCCTTTAGCCATTGTTTTAATTGGATTATTTGTGATTTTATTGTTCAATTGCATGGTTCATTATATATTCTGGATACAAGAACAACATGAGACAAATGATTTGCAGATATTTTTCCCATTCTGTGGATGATTTTTTTTTTTCACTTTTTTGATTGTGTCCTTTGGGGAGCAAAAGTTTCTAATTTTGATGAAGTATAATGTATCTATTTTTCTTTAGTTTGCTGTATGTGGTCACTGAAATCTTTGCTCAGTTGTTGTAGCGGTGAGTGAATGATCAGACAGAGATTTAATGAAATATCTTCCATCAGTGAGTCTTCCCCATTTAGCTGAGATGCTCTGTTTCTGTTTATTATCATGCAATGAAGGCTCCTACAAGCTCTTACAAATCTGCCTTAGTCTTCACTAAAATCAGTCAGTGATGAGGGATTAAGGATTCTCTCCCTAATCCAAAAATGTAAACAAAATACATCTTTCCTGGTCACACATACAACACTGCACTTTTGTATGGCCCTCTAGATTCCCAGGAAAATACAGAATCTTTTCAAAGCTCCCAATGGTCATCTCATTCCTTTCAAATTTTTTGTTGTTGTGCCTATTGTTATCCACAACTAGTAAGCATCTCCATCATATAAAGCTGTAATGTTAAACAACTTTTTTTTTGTTTTTTTTCTTTTTTTCCCCAGTAAAGTTCTTAGGAGTAAATCTGTTTACAAAGATGAGACCTTGGAGGAGTTCCAACCTCCTTACCCCTCAGGTGTCTGCTAGATGTTGAGTTACAGAGCTGGTAGGTTAAGGCTTCCAAAGCAGCTGTGGAGAAATAATTGATGTACCTACATGATAGTCAGATTTACATGTACTGTGAAGTGATTGCTACAGTTGGTGGTACGTGGATTGGTGTGAGCTTTTCCTTATTTCCAAAGTTCTGAAAAAGTTGATTTTGACAATTTTGCCTGTATATTCATTGTGTTTATAGAAGAGAAGATTTTCTGATCTTTACTGTTCCAAAGGTGCTTCTTGGATGTGATTTTGAAAAATAAGTATGAGATTATTTTTCTTTCTTTTCTTCAAAGGAGTTTTGCAATTATCCCCATAGCTTTGAAATGTTATGGTAATTTTTTCCTAATGTACTGATCGTTTCTGGGTTAAAAAAAATCCTGCTCTAGCAATATGGCTATAAATTTAAAGAAATCACACTGCTTTAATAATTTTTTCTGGGTAAATATATAACTAAAGATTATAAAATTTGAACAATTACAAGTGTAAAGAATGTAATTAAGAGCTATTGTTTTAGCTACAAATAAGAAAAAAGTCATGGTATAGCTGTATTTAATTGAACATGTAAACTGAAATGGAAAAACAATGTGGAATATGTTAGTTTACACATAAACTCATGTATTTCAAATAAATACTAAAAACTATGTTATGAATGAAATTACATTTTTTAAACAAAACATGTCTTATGAAAATGATAATTACCAATCTTGCAACTTTATAGGATTAATAATTATTATTTCGATAATTTAAAACGACATTTTACTCCATACCTTTGCTCCTGAATACACTCTTTAAAAAAAAAAAATTGTTAAAAACATTAAAATACAAACAGCTCATTTTTTTTATTTTACTTTTTTTCTATAGGACTTTGGAGATGATGGGTCCTTGTATATTACAAAAGTTACTACAACTCACATGGGCAATTACACATGCTATGCAGATGGCTATGAACATATCTATCAAACGCACATCTTTCAAGTGAATGGTAAGAATTGTGGTGTTGCTATAGTTACTTTTTGCTTCGCTAGATATTCAAAGAATATTATAGTTGACTGGCAAGGTAAGACTTTATGTATTTTTTTTTAGTCTTGGGACTTGTTAATGCAAAATCTTTTTCAATTAAAAAAGTTTGAGTTGAATAAATACTATAAAGCTGTACCACTTTTCTCATCATGAATCATTGCCAAGTAACTCGTTCTAATTAAAAAGATAAAGCATACGAAATTGAAGTTACTTTTTAAGTTAAAACTATCAACAAAGAGGTAATCATATCAATTTTAGAAACTGAAAAAAAGAAATTTAAAAATTTTAATCACGGGGAAAAGGAAGGGAAGGGGAAAGTCAAGGAACATATAGCAAGGACTCATGGACAAAACCAAAGGGGAAGAGCTGAGGGAAGGAAGGTGGGAGGGGGCAAGGGAAAGTGGTGGGGGGTAGGCAGAGACAAATGTATTTGAAAAAATAAAATAAAATTTAAAAAAATATTTGGAAAAAAATTTTAATCAGATCATCTATTTAGTTGATCTTATTAATGGTATAAAAAACTGTTATTTATCTACAGCAAATTTTATATTTTGATGTCTGTGAACACTGGACAAGTAAGCTGATAATCATTCTTATAATCAGAGCTTTGTTTTACTTCTGATTTAACTCAAATTTTAGTTATTTAGTTGAATTGATGATATCCAATTGCATGTTTGATTAATATACACTGATTCATTTTCATACTAATATATATGTTAATTTACTCTGGGATTTACAAAAAGTAGGCAGAAACTTTCTTGGCTCTCTGTAGGAACAGCAGGGTGGCTAATGTGGTTGGTACGAATAAAAGGAAAGTGACAGTTATGAGTTTGACGAGGTGGCCTGGGGTCAGATCTCTTGGAGCCTTGTGGCTCTCAATATTTTGATTCCCATTTTAAGTGATGGGAAGCTATCAGACTGTTAAGTGTATGAAGTGGCACATTAAAATGACTGGAATACCTGAGATCTGTTTAAAAAAAAAAACTATTTTAATAGTCTAGGGAAGAAATAATGGTGGCTTAAAATATAGTTTAATGGTGAAGACGTAAAGGAGTGATCAGATTTGGAATATATTTTGAAAGGAGATGTGATAATATCATAGAAGAATGGCATGTGAGTATGAGAGAAAGAAGATTGAAGAAATTAACCCAAGGAATTTGAAGGATGTAGGGGAGAGAAATAAAGTTTCCTCTTTCTTCTACCCTCAAGGTTTTTCTGGTCTAATAATCAAGTAGACATGAGTCAGATTAGCAAGAATAAAACAACGAAATTTAATCATAGATATGTATGGGAACCTCACAAGTATGAGAGAACCAGACACCATGCATTGAAGAGAGATTCAAAGATAGAAAGGGAACATGTGTGCATAACATATCCTGAGCTACAGATAATGGAAGAGGGCTTCAAAAGTCATTCAAGGTCATCAAGGAGAACAGGCCTTTAGTAAATAGAAGTTTGCCCTGCCCTGTAGGTAGGCCAAAAGAAGTTATCTCTGATAATTGTTTAAAGGTAAGGCCTCTAATTTAAATTCTTCTAGGTAATTAAGAGAGTAGTGCAGATGTCTCTCCTGAACCTGTGGCTAAAGTTGCCTTAAGCACAAAACAATCTGCATACCGCAGAGGCACATTTTTTTTTTTTTAAGATTTTATTTATTTATTTTTAGAGAGGCGAAGAAAGGGAGAAAGAGAGGAGAGAAACATCAATGTGTGGTTGCCTCGTTTGTGCCCCCTACTGGAGACCTGGCCCGCAACCCAACTGGCGACCCTTTGGTTCTCAGGCTGGCACTCAATCCATTGAGCCACACCAGCCAGGGCTGCAGTGGCACATCTTGGGGTGACTTATTCTGGACCCTACGGAAGCATTTAGCTATGTGGTCATGACATTAACTGCAATTGAGGAGAAACACTTTTGGAGATTGAGTAAGATTAATATTTTGTTTTGTTTTTAGCAATTTAACTTCAGTACTGTTATCCAGATGGAAGTCAGCTATGCAAGTTAGTATATAAGTCTGGAGATCAGAAGAGAGTGACAGGCCAAAGCTGTATATTTAGATAATATCAAAGTGCATAGACTTTATTTAAAGCCATAAATCTGAGCTTGAAGAGGTAACCTTAGGAATAAGTAAAGATGGGTATGAAGTTTGAACCTTGGAACTGAAGTTAATAAGTGGATAAAAGAAGACTTAAAATGACCATCCTGTGATGGGAAATTGTGTCCTGGAAATCAATTAAGAAAATGTTGGGGAAAAGGTTGAAGAGATTTGGGAGTTCATGGTTTGATTATTATTGGCACTCAACAGAACAGATCTATGCTTAGTTTGGGTGTAAACCCAGTGGGCAAACAGACAAAGCTTAAGGCTTGGTAATTGGTTTCCTCAACCCAGTTACCATGTATGTGGAGAGAATGTTTCCCTACACATCAACAAACAACTCTTGGACACTTGCAGGGCGTCCAAGAGTTCCACTCAATTATGACACTATCTACTGGGAAATAAAATCAGATTCTGCAGGTAAGGGTTTAGTCCTACATGACTACTGACCTCTCTACACACACACATAAGTCAGATACCAGCTGCAAACCCAGAGTGTTTTCTGTGCTTCCGACCAACCCAGTATAGAGCTCAATGTTCCCCTCCAACTCAGAATTCCATTAGCAAGTCAGGTTGTTGTCTGACAAACTGGCTATAAATCAGAGGTTTCCACAGACCTTTCATTGGGATCAATTAATTTACTAGAGTGGCTCACAGAGCTCAGAGAAATATGTTACTAGATTATCAGCTTATTACAAAGGATATTAAAGAATACTAGAGGATATGGCTCAATAGCCAGATGAAGAGATACAGAGGTTGACATCCCAAACAATGAAACTTCTGCTCTCCAAGAACTTGGGACTTGGCAAGGTGGCACATGGGAGCATTCTGGGTCCTTACTGTAGAAGCTCTCCAAAAACAGGATCATGGAGCTATTCTCCTGCGTGCTTATAGAGGTTTCTTTACCCAGTCATTAGCCATAGAAAACTGAACTCATTCTCCAATCCCTCTTCCCTCCCTAAAGGGGGGAAGATTGAAAGTTTCAAACCTCTGATCACATCTGTTGGTTTTCCTGGCACCAGCCACCGCCTTAGGGTGGAGTCTCAAGTGAACTCATTAACGTAACAAAAGACATCTTTCTTACTTTTTTAAATCATAAATCTGTTTATTTAAATAACTAGGACTAAGAGACATAAGTTGTTAACAAATGAGAGTAAACAAAAGACATAAAAAGAACCTCAAGGGAAGACATATATTATGTATGAGAGAAGTCGGAGATTATATGTATATCATATATATATATAGTATATATATCACATATATATCAACAGATTAATAGCAAACTCTTTATACCATTATAAAACATAAATCTTAGTATTTTAGGATAAATTTTATTTTGTTTGCTTGATTTTTTTCAATTTTTAAATTCTTTTATTTATTTATTTTTTTTGTTCAAATACATTTGTCTCCACATTCCCACCACCAATTTCCCCTGCCTCCTTCCCCCACCTCCCTCCCTCAAGCCTTCCCCACTTTGGCTTTGTCCATGGCTCCTTTATACATGTTCCTTGACTTGACCCTTCCCTTCCCTTTCCCTGCCCCCCCTCTCTCCTTCCCTCTTGACTCTGTTGGTTTCTTTTTTCTTTCAATGTTGCTGGTTATATTTTCCTTGCTTGTTTGTTTTGTTGGTTAGGTTCCACTTATAGGTGAGATCATATGGTATTTGTCTTTTTTCCCCTGGTTTATCTCACTTAGTATAATGCTCTCTAGTTCCATCCATTCTGTCATGAAGGGTAGTTCTTTTTTTCTTTCTGTGGCATAGTATTCCATTGTGTAAATGTACCATAGTTTTTTGATCCATTCTTCTACTGATGGGCACTTAGGTTGCTTCCAACACTTGGCTATTGTAAATTGTGCTGCTATGAACATTGGGGTGCATAGGTTCTTTTGAATTGGTGTTTTGGGATTCTTAGGGTATAATCCCAGCAGTGGAATTGCTGGGTCAAAAGGCAGTTCCATTTTGGGAGTTCTAAAGGTAGGAGGATTGGAAGTTTCAAACCTTTGATCACATCTGTTGGTTTTCCTGGGAACCAGCCACCGCCTTAGGGTAGGGCCTAAAGTGAACTCATTAACATAACAAAAGACACCTTTATTACTCTTAATGCTTAGGAAATTACTGGGTTTTGGGAGGTCTGTGCCAGAAGTGGGGTTGAAGAGAAAATAAATATTTTTTATTATAAGTCACAATATCATAACTAGGAAATCAACTTTCAAGAAAACCAGTGAAGAAAGCAGGTAAGATGGGAAGGAGTTGATGCTTCTTGTTCCCATTGGTCTCAGATGTTTGAAGCTTGACTTTCAAATACAGCATTTGTACCTGAGGATACAAAATCTTGGTGTTACAGTAGGTAGTTGATTAGTTATTAACAAAAGAAGGGAGCAATGGAATCAGACCTTAAGCCTGATTAAGTGGGAAGGTCAGCTTTACAGACAGATCAGGGGCATAGCAACATCTTCCGCCAAAGGAATATCCATCTTCAATCAGGCAGGAAAGAGTGATTTTCTAATCTCCCCGGGGAACAACTGGCTCATTCACTCAGGTTACTGGCGCAAGGGATAAACAATGAAGGGGAAATTCCTTTGCTGAGTGCATGCACAGCAGAAGCTAGATGACGAAGCAGAACTTTGAGGCATACACAGTGGGAGTCAAAACAGTGGTCATAAATGGGAAGAGTCTAGCCTGGGAAAATCTGGGAAAAGGATTATTTAGAATAAGGGCTCTAAACCCCATAAATTCCAGGAAAGAGATTGGATAGCAGGAGAGCCCAGCACAGACCCTGGAAAACCGAAGGAATAGGTTGGATAGTTTGAAAGACATCCTTCCTGTTTCTGAAACCAAGAAAATATATGGAGGATTAGCAAGGAACAGCTGC